TGTGCAGCATTTGCGCCTAGCTGCGCTCCCTGGAATGCAGACTTTGCCCGAAATCTGCAAAGTGGAAGTTTGCACTTATTTGGGTCTTTCGAAATCGCAGCTGCTGCAGTTGCATGCAAAGTGGACTTTTTGCATGCAAAAAGTTCATTTTAATTTGAATTTTGTGACAAATTTAATTTCAAATATCTCTTGGACTTCGCCGAAAATCCGCAATGTAGTCTCGGGCAAACAGCGCCTGCAGTCGGGTTCAGGGAGCTGCTGCTGCTGCAGTTGGGTCTCGCTCTTGTGTCTCTTTTGCTGCTGCTGCAGTTGCGTGTCCTTCTTTTGTCTCTTTTGCTGCTGCTGCTGCTGCTGCTGCGTCGGCGTCTGCTCTTGCGTCTGTTTTGCTGCTGCTTGCCGCGCATCTGCTGTTCCGTGCAGCAAACAGTTGTGTAGTTTGCTGCTGCTGCTGCTTCTTCGTGCGGCGTTTTGGATAGTGCCCATTGCTGCTGCTGCTGCAGCCGCTGCGTCGCCTGCTTTGCTGCTGCTGCCCGCCCACGCGTCCCAGCGCCGCCGCCGCTGCTGCTGCTGCTGCTGCTGCTGCTGCTGCTGCTGCTGCAGGCGGCGTCGTCGCCGACGGGGGTGCGGGAGCTGATGGGTCGCTGCTGCTACAGCAGCGAGCTGAAGTGTCTGTGTCTGAGTCTGCTGTGGGGGCCCCCCGGGGGGGCCCCCCTGTGGAGCGCGGGGGCCCTGCTGCAGAGCTACGCGGGGCAGCTGGTACCCTTGCTGCAGCAGGAAGAGCAGCTGCTGGACGCGCAGGAAGCTTTGCTGTTCCGCGAACTCAGCCGCAGCCGCTTGCTGCTGCTGCTGTGCAAACTCAACTTTGTTGCTGCGCGGGGGCCCCTGGGGGCCGACAGCAGCTGGGGAGAAGTCGGAGACAGATATATTGTGCGGCTCTTCAGGGACTTTTTGTTTCTGCAGCAGGGGCAGCAGCAGGAGCCTGTCTTGGACTTGGGACATGTTTTGAGTTCTCTTCAGAAGTGCGACTTGGGGGCCCCCGACACTTTGCTGCTCATGAGCAAAGACGCAGCAAACAGTTTGCTGCTGCTGTCTTACCGCGACGTCAAAAACGCCATTGACAAGAGCTTCCGCGACCTCGTCGCTGCTGCGCTGCAGCCCCCCTCCGCCGCTGCGCAGCAGCAGCAGCAGCAGCAGCAGCAGCAGCAGCAGCAGCAGCCCCACGCACACCCCCCGCCCGGCAGCCCTCTGCACAACCCTCCAGAAGCTGCTGCTGCTGCTGCAGCAGCAGCAGCAGGACGCGCAGGCACACTCCATGGGTACAACCCCATTCACCACGCGCCCATGGGGGGCCTCTACGTGCCCCAGCAGCAGCAGCAGCACCAGCAGCAGCAGCAGCAGCAGCAGCACCAGCAGTACAGCCCGCCCGTCAACTGTATGGAAGCCACGCCGCTCTACAGTCCCCCGCTGCAGCCGCTGCAGCAAGTGCTGCAGCTGCCCGCGCAGCAGCAGCTGCAGTACCCGCTGGACCAGCAGCAGGGCTGCTACAATCCGTACAGCTGGCATGCGCAGCCCTAACGCAGCTGCTGCTGCTGCTGCAGCAGCTGCGGCTGCCGCTGCAGCAGCTGCGGCTGCCGCTGCAGCTGCTGCGGCTGCCGCTGCAGCTGCTGCGGCTGCCGCTGCAGCACCAATCCGTACAGCTGGCATGCGCAGCCCTAACGCAGCTGCTGCTGCCGCTGCAGCAGCTGCGGCTGCTGCAGCAGCAGCTGTGGCTGCCGCTGCAGCAGCTGCGGCTGCTGCAGCAGCAGCTGTGGCTGCCGCTGCAGCACCTGCGGCTGCCGCTGCAGCAGCCGTGGAAGCAGTCACAGCAGCAACAGAGGCAGACGTTGCTGCTGCAGCCCGGGCAGCAGCAGCGGCAGCAGCAAATGCTGCTGCAGAGGCAGAACCGTGTGCAGGAATTGCACCTGCTGCTGCTGCTGCTGCCACTGCTGCTGCTGCTGCTGCTGCGGGGGATTCGTTTTTCTATCTGCCAAGATCGACAGTGTCTATACACCTGAAGACGTGCACGTTTGCTGCCTTCAAGTGACCCACAAAGCTTGCTGCTGCTTACGTGCTGCTGCTTATTTGCTGCTGCATACTTTCTGCTGCTTACTTGCTGCTCCATACTTGCTGCTGCTTATTTGCTGTATCATACTTGCTGCTGCTTGTCTGCTGCATATTTGCTGCCGCTTATTTTGCTGCTGCATACTTGCTGCTGCTTTTTTGCTGCTGCATACTTGCTGCTACTTACTTGCTGCTGCTTACTTGCTGCTGCTTATTTGCTGCTGCTTACTTGCTGCTCCACACTTGCTGCTGCACATTTGCTGCTGCTTATTTGCTGCTACGTACTTGCTGCTGCTTATTTGCTGCTGCATACTTGCTGCGGCATACTTGCTACTGCATACTTGCTGCTGTTTGTTTGCTGCTGCATACTTGGTGCTGCTTATTTGCAGCTGCATACTTGCTGCTGCTTATTTTGCTGCTGCATACTTGCTGGTACTTATTTGCTGCTGCATAAGTGCTGCTGCTTATTTGCTGCTACATACTCGCTGCTGCTTGTTTGCTGCTGCGTACTTGCTGCTGCTCATTTTGCTGCTGCGTACTTACTGCTTCTTATTTTGCTGCTACGTACTTGCTGCTGCTTATTTGCTGCTGCATACTTGCTGCTGCTTATTTGCAGCTGCGCACTTACTGTTGTTTATTTGCTGCTACGTATTTGCTGTCACTTATTGACTCGCTGCTGCTTAAGTGCTGCTGCATACTTGCTGCTGCTTAAGTGCTGCTGCATACTTGCTGCAGCTTATTTGCTGCAACGTACTTGCTGCTGCTTATATGCTGCAGTACTTGCTGCTACCTGCTTATTGCTACGGACTTGCTGCTGCATATTTGGCTGCTGCATACTTGCTGCTGCTTATTTTGCTGCTATGCATTTGCTGCTGCTTGTTTGCTGCTGCACACTTGCTGCTGCTTATTTGCTGCTGCATGCTTGCTGCTGCATATTTGTTGGTGCATACTTGCTGCTGATTTGTTTCTCCATACTTAGTGTTGCTTATTTGCTGCTGCCTTTGTGCTGCTGCTTACGTACTGCCACAGCGTTGCTGCTGCGTACATGTTGCTGCACACTTGCTGCTACTAATTTGCTGCTGCATGCTTGCTGCTACTAATTTGCTGCTGCATATTTGCTGCTGCTATTTTGCTGCTGCTTAGCTGCTGCTGCTGTCCGCGCCCTCGTGCCGGCCCAGGACACCGGGAAGTGAAGCGGGAGGCGCACACGGCTTGGCCCGTATCAGCAGCAGCAGCAGCAGCAGCAGCAGCAGCGGTGGGAACTGGCTGCTGCACGCAGCGTGCTGCTGCTGCTGCTGCTGCTGCAGTTGCTGCTGCAGCTGCAGCACACCTCGCAGGGAGAAAAGTAGAGTAGCAGCAACTGGAGATTGCGGCAATTGGTTTCGCGGCTTCGTAAGGTTCGTCTCAAAACATCATGTTTAAATTAATGAGTTGAGGTGTACGTACACCTGGTGCATGCGCACGCGCATGCAAGCCGCGGGGCTGGACGCGGCGGGCGCATGCACCTGCCTGCCCCGGGGCAAAAAATAAAAAGAAAGAAGAGAGCCTGTTGCATGTCTTGGGGCTGTGGGGCCCCACAGCTGTGCCCGCAACTCTGCAGGGAGACTAAAAGGCAGCAGACTACGGGCAGCGCGCAGTGTTGGTAACCCCAGAGAGCGCATGCATGCACGCATGCATGCATGCATGCATGCACGCATGCATGCACGCATGCATGCATGCGCGCATGCATGCGCCCTGCATGCATGCATGCACGCGCATGCGCATGCGGGTTTGGTCGGCAGCAGCGCCCGTGGAGTTCACTTGAACACGAGACGTGACGAGTGCAAATAGTCTGTATAAAAGAAATAATAACTCCCTATAAATGCAAGCCTGCATGCAGCACGGCTGCATGCATCTTGCATGCATGCATGCATGCGGCGGCCGCGCAGAAAGACAAAGATTGGGGCGGGGCCCAGCCAGCCCCAAACTAGTGAGACAGCCCCCTCTTATTTGCTGCTGCATGCGCTCCAGGGCCAAGACAGAAAGCTGGGAAGCAGCAGCACTTTCTCTTCTGTCTGAGGCTGGGCCCGCGAGACTACAGAGAGAGGCGCCATAGCTCGATTCAAATATGCGAGTTAAACATAAATGGCATGCAATATAAACATATAAATATAATATAATATAAATATAATATAAATATAATATAATATAATATAATATAATATAATGTAATATAATATAAATATAAACATAAATTTAATATTTAGGGCATATTATATATAAACTTGGCGCAAATGCTCATAAATACGTGCATGCGCGAGTGCATGTGGGCGCTGTGGGGCCCCACACATCTGCGCATACACCCCAAATGCCCTTCGCTGCTGGGCAGGTGTACATACACCTCAGTTCGGGTGTACGCAGCCGCAGAGCCACGCGCTACGCAGGCGAGTGGAATGCATAAATAGAAGCAGTGCATGCATGCATGCATGCGGACGAGCACACATCGACAGGAAGATACGCATGCATGCATGCATGCATGCATTTAAAATGCGCCAGCGCGTGCATGCGCGCACGGGGCCGCGGCAAAAGCCTCAGGTGCCTTCCGTGAGACACAAACAAAGACAGAACATCAGGAGGCACTACGGGACACGACCGCCTCCGCAGCTGATGTGGACTGGAGGCGCGAAGTACGCATGCATGCATGCATGCATGCATGCATGCATGCATGCATGCATGCATGCAGGCGTGCATGCGCGCATGCATGCATGCATGCATGCATGCATGCAATGAAGGGGGAACAGAAGGTCCTGCATGTATGACATTTAAGATATAAGAGCGAACTTTTTGTGTACCTTAATAGACACCAAACAACTACATGCGCTGCATTTACACAGGGCAGCAATGCCTACGATCTGCTGCCGCTACTTTGCTGCTGCTGCTGCTGCTGCGGCAACAGCAGCAGGAGAGCTCGCTGCTGCACTGGGGAAACAGTCTTGCTGCTGCCGGTGCAAGTTGTTGCTGCTGCTGACATATGGTTTGCTTGCGTGGGTAGGTCCACCTGCTGCTGCTGCTGCTGCTGTGGAAGCAGCAGCACTTCTATCTGCGTCCTCAAGGGCAGCAGCAGCAGCAGCAGCAGCAGCAGCAGCTGTTGCCGGTTCACCATCCGCTGCATCTCTTGCCTCACTCCTTGACTCGGCCAGAGCAGCAGCACCAGCAGCACTTGCTGCGGGCGTGGCTGCTGCTGCTGCAGCAGCGGCCGCGGCCGCAGCAAGCCGCTCTGCAAACAGCCCCAGCTCTGCTGCAGCAGGAGCAGCAGCAGCAGCAGCAGCAGCAGCAGCACGCCTGTCTGCATGCCTGCGGGTGAGGCCTTCAGGGGGGCTGTTGCTGCCTTCCATTAAGTAATAAGTGCAGCTTTCGCTGCGGCTGCGGCTGCTGCAGTCTCCTGTCCACGGCAGCTGGCGGGCCTTCCTTCGCGTTTGCTGCTGCTGCTGCTGCTGCTGCTGCTGCTGCTTGTGGTCGCTGCAGGGAGAGCCTGCAGCAGCAGCAGCAGGAGGAGACCAGTCGCGGCACCGCCGTAGACTGGGGGGGGACCCTGGAGGCGGCAAAGACACATATACCTGTTGCTGCTGCTGCTGCTGCTGCTGCTGCTGCTGCTGCTGCTGCTTCTGTTGCTGCTGCTCCGTCAAAGACATGGGAGACACGTCCGAGCTGTTGCTAGGCGTCAGCAGAGCAGCAGCGGACAGGTCTACACACATCTCCAGTTGCTGCTGCTGCTGCTGCTGCTGCTGCTGCTGCTGCTGCTGCTGCTGCCCCTGCTGCGCACTTGTACATAAGGGAACTGACAAGTCCAGGAGGGCTGGGGGGCTGCTGCTGCTGCTTGCTGCTCCAGAGCCCTCAGGAGATGCGTATTCATACACCTGCAGATTTTACACACACACCTTTCTGCTGCTGCTGCTGCTGCTGCTGCTGCTGCTGCTGCTGCTAGTACTACTGCCGGTGCTGTTGCTGTTCGCGTGCCTAACGCTGCTGCTGCTCGGCGTGCAAGTAATGCTGCTGCTGCTGGACGTGTAAATAATGCTGCTGCTGCTGCTCGTGCTGCTACTGCTGGCCTTAATGCAGCTACGGCCCGTGTTGCTGCTGCTGCTGCTGCTGCTGTCTGCTGCTGCTGCTGCTGCTGCTGCTGCTGCAGTGTGGCTGCTACCTGAACCACAAGGGGGCTTCCAAAGGAGACGTGCTTCGCGATGCTCCTGCCAAGGGCTGCGGGGCTGCTGGGGAAGCTTGCTGCTGCCTGCTGCTGCTGCTGCTGCTGCTGCTGCTGCTGAAAAGGGACCTGTCTTGGCCAGCCACCTTGTGAACACTGCGAGGGGGGAGTAGCACGCCTGGCGGGGATGGGCAGAAGCAGCTGCTGCTCTCCCGTTGCTGCTCCCCATTTCTGCTGCTGCTGTCTCTGCTGCTGCTGTCGTTGCTGCTGCCGCTGCTGCTGCTGCTGCTGCTGCTTCTGCTGCATTTTGCTCAGCTCGCTGGTGGCTGTGCACGGGCAGGGCAACTGGAGGAAAGCCGACGGGTTCCTCCGCGTTTTGTTGCCGCTGCTAGTTTCTGCTGCTGCTGCTGCTGCTGCTGCTGCTTCTGCCGCTGCTGCTGCTGCTGCTGCTGCTGCTGCTGGAGAGGGGCCTCCATCCACTTCTCCTGTGTCTCCTTCTGGCGGGGAAACGAAGCAGCAGCTGCCGCGTTTTCTTGCGGCTTCTTTTGTGGCCTGGCTGTACCTGCTGTGGTCCCTAAAGTAGTTGCTGCTTCTGCTGCTGCTGCTGCTGCTGCTGCTGCTGCTGCTGTTGCTGCTGCTGCTGGTGGCAGCAGCAGTTGGGGGCCGCAGCAGGTGCGGCGAAGCGCAGCCCTCCCCAGACCTTCTTTGTCTAGGTGTAGAGCAGCAACTAAGGGAATCGTCCCTGGCTGCTGCTGCTGCTTCTGCTGCAGCTTCTGCTGCTGCAGCTTCTGCTGCTGTTGCTTCTGCTGCTGCAGCTTCTGCTGCTGCTGCTGCTTCTTTCGGAGAAAGCAAAGAGGCAGCACTACGTACTGCGAATGCAGCGGGGGCAGCAACGCCGCCTGCTGCAGCAAAAGGGCCGTCCTCGCCCAATTCTGCTGCTGCTGCTGCTGCTGCTGCTGCTGCTGCAGTAGGAGAGGGATATGCAGCAGGGGAAAAGGGGTCCCCAAGGGATAAAACCTGTTGGGGGCTGCTGCTGCTGCTGCTGCTGTCAGCTGCAGTACTAGCTGTGTTTAGCCGCGACAGAGAATCGCCTCTGTGTGTGCAGTAGCAGCAGCAGCTTCGTCTGCTGCTGCTGCTGCTGCTGCTGCGGCTGCTTCTGTCCGCTGCAGCACTGCCGTAGCAGTAGCCGCTGCTGCAGCGGGGGGACCCCACAGCCACATTGTCTGCATGCATGCAGCATGTGCTGCAGTCGTCCTCTTTGCTGCTGCTCCTGCTGCTGCGGTGACAGTCGGCAGCAGCGGCAGCTACTGACTCTGCTTCAGGCATTGTGCTGTGCTGCTGCTGCTGCTGCTGCTGCTGCTGCCGCTGCAGCAGCTGTGCGCTGCCCCTAAGATACGGGGCGGCTCGGAAGACCCTTCTGCGCAAAGCGGCCGCACTGCTGCAGCTGCCAGTGGAGCTGCAGCAGCAGCAAGCGCAGCCGCAGTTGCTGCAGCAGCAACTGGAGCTGCGGGGAGCTTGCTGCTGCTCTGCAGCAGCAGCAACAAGCCCTATTTGGGGAGCAGCAGCAGAAACTAATGAGGCCCTCCAGTTTAGCTGCAAGACACCACAGCGCGTTGGAGTGTACCTGCAGCTGGCGCTCTGCGGGTTGGGGGGTGTCCTCGTTGCTGGTGTGTTGCTGCTGCTGCTGCAGTGATGCAGCAGCAGCAGCAGCAGCCGCAGGGATTAGGGGTTAAAGAGAAGCGTTTGTTGATGGGCAGGCATTGTGTTTGCTGCTGCAGCAAGTGTGGCCTCTTAGGTGTATGGACACCTGAATGCTCAGTGCAGACCTGGTCGTGAGCAGCAGCAGCAGCAGCAGCAAGAGCAGCAGGCGCAGCAAGAGCAGCGCCAGCAACAGCACAAGGGGTTGGGTTTCATGTGCTAATTATTTTGGCAGCATTATAAAGGAGAGGAGACCTTGAAGAGACTCGGAGGGGTTTGCTGCTGCTGCTGCTGCTGCAGCAAAACCCGGCCTCAGCGGCACGTCGTGCAACTGGAGGCACCGCTGTTGCTGCGGCAGCGGCTGCTGCTGCTGCTGCTGCTGCAGTAACACCAGCCCATTTCTGAAGATGTTTTGGTCTTCTCTTTTTAAAATTAAGGATACATTGCAGAGAAAATGAGAATCCCGCGAACTCAGGGCGAAAACGCCCATGATCGGCTTAATCGGTCCGCCGTGGGTTTTGTACACCCCAGGCGTTCGGGGGCGCTGCCTTCGTTCTGCCCCCCAAACTCTTCAGATATTGCTCTTTTTTTTGGAGTTTTATAATTGCTTTATCAAATAGTGAATGGTATTCAGAGAAAACGCAAAGAAGAGCGGCTAATAGCGGTAGAGCTGGCGCGCACACCGCTGCACGCTTGCCCGCGAATCTGCAGCGGCAATTCGGGCAGCAGTTTCTGCTGCTGCCGCCGCTCATTCTTCCAGCACTTTTCGTGAGTTTTGCCAATTCTTTTTATCAATTGCCATTTTTAAGCGCTGTGTGGGCCTTTTTGGCTCTATTTCAAGCTTATTTCAGCCCGGGCTGCGCGGCAGGCGTGCACGACACCACCGCGCCCCGCACCGCCGCCCGTGCCCCGCCGTGCATTCGGAGCATTCCAGGGCTTCTCGCGCAGGTGAACAATTTTAATTCTTTTTAAATTAACACTCTTAATATTTCTGCAGCATTTAAAAGCCGAGGGCGAAGAGAAGCCGCTGCGCAGCCCCCGCGCTGGGGGGCGCTGCGGTGTCTCGCAGCAACCAACCCTGTCTGGCAGCTCCAAACTTGAACTCGCACGTTTTAAAGTCAATTCCAAGTTATTAAATTAATTAATTAATCTTTTAAAAGCTGCTAATTAGCCACAAATGGCAGAAGTGGCGGCCCGCTGCTGCGCGGCGCAGCAGCCAGCGCCCGCGCGGGAAGGCGCAGCGAGTCACGCGAGCCCACGCGGCCGTTCCGGCGAAAGGAACTTAAAACTTTCAAATATTTAATTCTTTTTAAAACAAATAAAAGCTGCTGCACTCCGCAGGCCTTTATGGCCAACTGAGGGGCCCCTTTGGGGCCCCTGGGAGGGCCAAGAGCCCCCGCCCAGTATAAGCCTCCCAGTGAATTGCCTGCATCTCTCAGCAAAGCATTTGGCCCGCTGGCTGCAGCACTGTAGCCTCTTGCTTCCTCTTCCAATGCTGCTGCTGCTGCTGCTGCTGCTGCAGCAGCTGCTGCTGCTGGCTCAGCCATCGGCTGGCTCCTCTGGCTGTGGCTGCGGTTGCGGCATTTGCGGCCAAATAAAAAGCAGTTTAAAGGCCTGCTGCTTTGCTGCTGCTGGCAGCAGCAGCAGCAAGAATCATTCTTAAGAGGAATGCTGGCTTTTTCTGAGTCGTTTTGAAGCAATTTAGACATATAATAACAATAAAAATAAAAATGACAATAAAAAGCAACTCTAATGTACTTATAATAGAGTACAAACTAAAAGTATTTATAAAAAACAAATTCTTTTCATGAAGAGCAGCAGCCAAGTTACCCTGTCGATACACCCTGCTCTCCCTGGCTGCCACGGCCCCTGGGACAGCAGCAAGAAATTTTTGCAAAAGAGATTTCTTTTTTTTCTTTGAGTCTTCACTAATACCTAATTTATTGTCTTAAGGGTATTTGTGTCATAAACTACTTCAAAAACGGCGCAGAGCAGGCCCAGAAAGGCCTAGCCGGCTGCTGCTGCTGCTGCCGCTGCCGCTGCTGCTGCTGCTGCTCGCCCGACCAGCTGCTGCTGCTGCAGCGCACCTGCAGAGGCCCCAGGAGCGCGGCAGCTGCGTGCTGCAGTAGGCTGCTGCTGCATTAGGCTGCTGCTGCAGTAGGCTGCTGCTGCAGTAGGCTGCTGCTGCAGTAGGCTGCTGCTGCTGCCACAGGGCCCCCGAGGGCCACAGGGCTCTCCAGAGGAGCAGCAACCTCCCTGCCACTGCCTGCACAGTTTTGCTGGCAGCTGCAATGCTGCTGCTGTCTTTGCTGCTGCAGGCTGGCAGCAAGAAGGGGCCCTCTTTTAGGCGCTGCTGCGTCTTTGGGGGCCCCCTGAGTGTACCCTGGGCCCCGCCTTTGTCTTGGGTTGAAAGTTCGATCAAATATTCAATTGAAGTCAATTGAGGAAATAATTTGGGATTTCCGAGTCTACTGGCGCTGCATGCGCTGCGCAGCCACAGCGGGGCAGCAGCAAAACCCGAAAATCTTTTTGAAAAACTTTTTCCACTTTTTTCTGGCGCAGCAAATGCGGCGCATTGCAGTGTACGTACACCTCGCGGAAACGCCCGGACACCCCAGAAAGCGGAGTGTCTGTACACCTCAGCCGCCCCACACTCCGTGAACAGAAATAAACAAAATGAATTAAAGAAGCAAAAGCACAAAGTTCCCTTTTTCATTTAAATCACCTCAAAAGAAGCCTAAGGCCAAAGGCATGCAGGGGCTGCATGCAGCTCAAAGGCTGATTCTGTGGGGCTTCAGCTTGCCCTGCAGAAGCAGCAAACGGCCCGAGGGGCTTTTTTGGGGCTTTTCTTCGAAGTCTTCTTGCATGCAAGTTTCTGGGGCTTTGGGCTTTCCTGATTCTCCGTCTTCGTCTCCAGAACTTTCTTTTTCGAGGCCCCCCGAGGCCCCCCAAGGCAGCGGCTTTCCTGGGAAGGTGAAGGCGTCGCTGTCGACCACCTGCAGCAGCAGCAGCAGCAGCAGCAGCAGCCAGCGCATGCAGAGGCCAGCTCAAGGCGCCGCGCTGCCGCCCCGGGGGGAGGCGCCCGGGTGTATGTACACTGCAGCGGGAGGCAGCGGCCCGCAGCAAAGGCGACAGAGGTAAGAAGCAGCAGGAGAAAGAGCAGCAGCAGCAGCAAGGAAGCTTCTGAAGCAAATAATACTAAAAACAACACAAGTGAAAATCCTAAGACAGACATCCTTAGCCTCCAGGGGCCCTCCAAACTCCTCCCCGTATTGCCGCTTTGCCCACAAAGGACGGTACAGAGCCATCAGCCGCGGGAACAGCTCCCTGCAGCGCAGCAGCAGCAGCAGCAGCAGCAGCAGCAGCAGCAGCAGCAGAGCGGGCGCTGCAAATCACGGCCGCAGCGCCAGCCACCGGCATGCAGGGGCTTTTCTGGCTGTGGAAGACAAGTGCAAAAATGGAAAAGAGAAATCCAAAAGAGAAATAAGAAGGAGAAATGCAAAAGATAAATGCGAAAGAGAAATACCAAGAGAAACAAAAAAAGAAAAGTAAAAAAGAGAAATGCGAAAGAGAAATAACAAAGAAATGCAAAGGATAAATGCAAACATAAATGCGGAGAAGAAATAAAAAGAGAAATGCAAAAGAGATATGCAAAAGAGAAATGCAAAGCGGAAATGCAAAAGAGAAGTGCAGAAGATAAATGCATAGGAGAAATGCGAAAGAGAAATGCGAAAGAGAAATAAAACAGAAATAAAAAAAGAAAAAAAGAAAAAAAAGAAAAAATAAAATAAACTTGCACTTACCTCCGTGGCCTTAGTGCGTACTCAATGTCTTGGGTGGCGGCGATCTCAGTGTTGAAGTCTGTGAACTTTCCTTCTCGGTGGTTTTCTGTCATTAAATAATGATAAAGTTCTTCGTGTTCCGCCACTGTGGCCTTGGGAGAAAGGTAGCTGCAGCAGCAGCAGCAGCAGCAAAACAAGCAGCAAACCCGGAGCTGCGAAACCAGCAGCAGCAGCAGCTGCTGCTGCTGCTGCTGCAGCTGCTGCTGCAGCTTCAGGTGCAGCTGCTGCTGCAGTTTCAGGTGCTAATCATGGGGAGGTTGCTCCACAACCAGCTGCTGCTGCTACACGCGCAGCTGCTGGTGCAGTTGCTGCAGCAGCATCTGCTGATGCAGCTGCAGCAGCAGCTGCAGCAGCAGGTCCGCGGAAAAGTGTGCCTGCAGTTGTGTGAAGCTGCTTGTTAGGGGCCCCTATTTGGGTGGAGAGTACATTAATTAACAACTGCATTATTGCTGCTGCAGCTCCCGAAAGCCTGCTGCTGCTGCTGCTGCTGCTGCTGCTGCTGCCTCACCAGCAGTTGTACGGGCTCAAACTGTACAGAGCCAGATTGACACAAATTGTTTTTCCCTCTGCATTTGGGGGATTTACTTCTCCCCTGACGAGGTGGTCTGCTGTTTCTTGCATTTCCAAACCTTTGGTAATATCTTCCCCCATTGCGAGGCGTGCTGCAGTTTCTGGAGTTGCTGCTGCTGCTGCTGCTGCAGCAGACTCGTGGGTTGCCCCCTCCACCACCGCCCGTACGTACACGGGGTGCTTCCGTATGTCGGCCCTGCAGCAAAGGCCAAGAGC